TTTGAGACTTCAAAGTATCACATAAAAGAATATTATGAGCTGTAAAGATGCCACCAGACATGTGTTCACATCTAGTGTCCCTTGCTGACTCTTCCTCCCAGAGGCACTCAGCTGAAAGGATAAGGCAGGGGACAGTCACCCTGTGGAACTGTCTGAGGGCTTCTAGGACTTTGCTTAGGGGAGGTGATCGGTTCATGTGCCCATCACTGGTATAGCACTCTCCACATGCAGGATGTCTTCTAGCTAAGCCATTTGCACAACCTTTTAAGAAACCAAGGCACAGAGGGGCTAAGTAACTTGCCCAAGGTCAAAGAGCTTATAAACAATCCAAGATTTAAACTCAGGCCATCTGGCTCCCCAGCAAGTTCATACTCATTGCCTTTCATTTTCTGTGCCCATCAAAGAACAATGTGACAAATTATGACACTCCCAAGTCCCTCCTCCTTGATTGCTCTTTCTCATGGTGTTTATTAAGCTGTACTTACAAAAGGCAGCTGGTAAGTCTCTATGTCTCTGAAGTCTTGATAAATTAAAAGAAATAAACAGGACTAAGTATTTTCAATACCCGGACAGCTGAAATTATAAACACCTGAGCAATTTAGCTTTAATTCACTTTTTTCTTCTTGGCAAGTTCTCTCTCATTCAACTCCTAGGTCTTATGGGCTCTGGCACCGAGCCCAGCCAGCCCGGACCCCCTGCAGCGCCGCATAATCTAATAGGCAGCAGAAATAAATTCCCACTGATGACCCTGGGAGGCTCAAAGGCCACCTGAGATCAGCCCAGGGACAGGAGGGTGACAAGCACAAATTGTATGACTGGATGGAGACTTATCTAGCAATAGATATTTCCATGTCAAATCCCCCGTGATCATGAATGAAGCACTGATCAATTATTTTAGCATGATTCATTTTCTGATTTCTGACTTACACAGCAAATGCTAGCAACACGGAAAAAAAGAGAAAACAGACGGAGGTCCTGCTCTCTTTACCAGCCACTGTCTTCCAAATCGGAGTCAACCACTTCTGTGTAGCAGTCTGCTCAGCTGCCCTGTCCTTTATAGCCCGGCCTTTCAATAACAGCTTCTCGGTAGACATTGGTTGAAGAAATAGAAGTTTAGAGCACCTAGGACTCTTTCAATAAAGATACAACCTATTCATTCATCTTTAGCTCAACCTGGCTTCTGAAATGTGCTACTTTCAAAGTTCTAGGAAAGAAGTGAAACAAAGCAGTGGGGAAAACACAATAGGAAACTGCAATTATTCATATTTTACAAGTTTCGAAATAGCAACTGCTTCTCCCACTTAGATACCCCTAAACCTACTTCATGTGTCTACAGAGCTTTGTGAATAGTAATTTTCTACCTAGCAACTGAATGCTTTTTCATTCATTAATTTAATCCACACTTACCAAACATCTACCATCTGCTAGCGTAGGTGCTTCATATTTATTTCATTTAGTTCTCAAAAGGAAGCACAATTATCTAAATTTCACAGCTGAAAAACTGAGACGCAGAGGTTTTACATACCATGGCAAGGTCACCCAGCTGGCGACAGAGCCAGTTGGTATCAACAAAGATAGTCTGCACTCCTGTTCCATAGTTTCCAATAGAGTAGCTCATTCAGAGACCACAGGAATACAAAGCATTTGGGATTGCATCATCATTTGCCGGAAGAAACTCAATAGTGAGGCGTTCCTTCATTACTTGAGATCCTCACAATAGGCACTGGAGTGAGGGAGCTGACGAATCTTTCTATAAGTTTCTCGCTCCCATGACACATGTATAGCTGGCCATCCATTCTAACCTGCCCTAATGCAGGGGGATACTTGCTGCTGGCATTCAGTGCACTCAGTCCACTGATTTGCATCTGCCATGTGCTGTGAACACTAAAAAGATATGTAGAAAACAGTACAGACCTCCCTGGATTGTGCTCTTTACAGGATCTTGAAACAGGACCCAGAACGGAAAGAGCCATATGCTCTTTCAACCAATGAATAAATCAAAGAGCATTGTTCATGCGCAGGGAGAGGAAGGCTGTGTTAAGCATGGCATTAGCCAAGCTCACGGTTCCCAAACACAGCATTTGTGAAGGCCTCTCACAGACCCTGTCTGGGGGTCTGGTAGAACTTGGGCTCCCTCTGTTCCTGCTTCCTCATGAACGGCCCCTAACCAGCCTCTCATGCCTCCCCCGACCCCACTCAAAGGAAACCACTGGACAATGTCACGGATGACCCCCACAGCCAACAGTCATTCTCGGGCTTCCTTTAATTGGGCCTATCAGCAGCCATTTAAAAGTAAATTAACTAAGGTATTGCAAATCACACAGATGACATGTACTTTGGAAATGGCCTACAGTGAGCAGATATTACTTTTATAAAAAGTCATCTTTTAAGTGTTAAAGCAATAAACAAAGACTGTTCAAGAAATATCACAAAATTCAAGAGGGCAGAACAATTTCACGTGGATTAGTCTCGCTAAAGCAGGGGTGTCTAACCCATGGCCCATGGGCCGCACGCAGCCCAGGATGGCTGTGAATGTGGCCCACCACAAAATTGTAAATTTACTTAAAACCTTTTTTTTTTTTTTTTTTTTTTGCTCATCAGTTTTTGTTAGTGTTTATGTATTTAATGTGTGACCCAAGATAATTCTTCTTCCAGCGTGGCCCAGAGACGTCAACAGGTTGGACACCCCTGAAGGAAGAGCCGGGCCAAAACCTGGGATAAGAACACTGAAGCAGAGATCGCCCTAGAACACTACAAATCACAGGGGGCAATTAAGATAGTCAGCAGGGACCAAGAGCCTACTCTTGTGTAAGCTGGCATCCTCTCGTTGGGGATTTCCTACAAGGAGCACAGGCTCCTCCTACCCGATAAAGGCCCTGGATCTAAAGGATGGTCTACTTCAAAGCGATCCACTTCCTCTGCGGGCTGCCGGGGGCCTGGAAACAAGGCCATCTTACCGATGGAGATCTGAGGCAAATGTCACTTGCCTCACGTGTCCCCAATAGTGCAGTATGGAGACCGTGGCAGAGATCTCCTGATGTCAACCCTCTAATATCACAAAGGAGTGACAAATGTGGCACTTGCGCTGCCGCTCACCCTGCCTGTGCCCACGAGCCACAGCTAAAAACATGGCACTTTCCCACTGCGTCCAGACTCAACTGCAGAATCCTTCTCAGCACAGTGCTCCTAGCAGCTCCTGCCAGCCGATGGGTGCTGGCCTGGGGGGTGGGCTGGGAGAAAGAGCTGAAAACATTTATACCCATGCCACAGAGGAAAAATAAGTCTTCATGTTTATAAAGCAACATCACAAGCACATTAAAGAGGGAGACCCTAAATAGAAAAGATGACTATTCGATGAATGAATAGGTAAATGACCAACCATTCTAAGACAGAAAAAGCTGAGGCATCATATTTCTCTTATCCTTTATGATGTAACATCAGAAAAAGCTCTATGAAAACCAAATCAATCAATTTCAAATAACACTCCCTCCCCGCGCCCCCTCCCCCAAAAAATGGTTCTGCAGTGTTCAGTTCTAGGATTTCACTGAACTGCTCCGATTCCCATGGTATTATAAGCTCTGGCTTAAATAAATCATGTTCTCTCCCTTTACCCAAGAAGGGCACAACAATAGATGCTCCTAGATGCAAAGGGTCAGGGGAGGGGAGGGGAATCCTCATTTGGTTCTAACACCAACCAGAAATTTGGCTTAGGGAGAGAAATACCCCCCTGGAGAGCTGACAACGTGGGTAAACATAGCTACCCTCACAAACATGAAGTCCCAGGGAGCCATAATGCATCAGCCAAGGACTATTTTGAGTCATTTTTCAATCCCAGCAGGAAGTGATGGCTGTGCTGAAAAAAATTCCTCTTCCTAACCCCCCAGGAGAGACCTTGGAGGGCTCCCAGAATGTCAGACCTGTAGCACAATCCAATTTGTTAGAATCATAGATTCTAATGACATGAGGCAGCACAGTGAGGTGGCACGCTCCCTGTCTCCAGCAGTGTTGGAACGGAGAGATCCGTGAAAATGTGTCATAAATGTGAGGACATGCCTGCGGCGGGAGGGGGCCGGATCCGTGCTTCCAAATCTGGAACCAAGACCTCCGGGCCAATTCTTAGGCCGGTGCTTCCCATGGGGCCTCAGCAAAGCCCACGGAGCCAGCAGACACTGAAAAGGCTCCACAGCCAAACTCTGGTTGTAAGACCAGAGCTTTTGGACAGCCACTCTGTCTCTACTTAACTGAAGGTGGAGGAATTGTAATCATTAATGTGCATTGTCTGCCACTGACCTAAAACCAGCAAATTCTGCCCACAGGGATTTATTAGAAAGGAAACAAACAACAACGTAATTAGCTGACGGTTATTTAGGAGTTAAGTATTTAGTCCTGTGTTTCACTTCTTTCTTCTCTCTTCTTCCTACCTTTGACCACTTCTTCATCCAAAAGGAAGTGAGCAGGTAGGACTCAAAGCTGCTGCCAGGGCAGCCTGTGGTCCGAAGGCATCGTAAAAGGTTTGGTAAAGGGAAGGAAGAGGAGAATGGAGGGGTAGTATAATTACTGGAAAAGTGATTGTTGTGTTTTTTTTTTGTTTTGGTTAGTAGGGTATAAATGAAAGTGTGGGCTCTGGAGTCAAAACAGACTGAGTTTTGGTTTCTTTCTCTGCCTCTCACTAGCTATTTGTCCTTAAGAAAAGAACTCAGTCAGTCTGACTCAGCTTCATGGAGGAAACAGGGATATTAATATCTGTGTTGGAGGACAGTTGCAAAGATTGAGGAAAATAAAGCAAAGAGCCAAATACAGTTCTTTCCATCTGGTAGGCATTTAAGTTGCATTATTAAAATCATCTAAAATGTACTTGTCTCATATAATTAAGTTATGACTGAAAGCAAATGATCTTAAACTGAGACGCAGGCCCTCCCAAGTAAATATGCACACTTTAATCTACAAACTTCCTGATTTAAATTTCCGTCTTAAAAATTGCATTAGTTAAAAAACTTTACCTGCCGACTTCCCTGCTTGGAGGAGCAGCTGCTTGGGCTCCTTGAAGGGGAGACCAGTTTTTGGGACACCCCAAGGTTCTTCTCATCACTCATCTTGAGCAGGCGGGTCATGCAGCCTCAACGCAGTCAATATGCCATCAGAAGACAGTGGAGCAGAGGGTACGGCAGTCCCAAACAGGCGGGGGGCTCAGCTCTTATCCAGTACGTTCTGAAAGCATTTTGGATGATCTAGATGAAATCCCTAAAATCAAAAGAAAAAAAAATTAGAGGGAATTAGATGCATGGAGCATCGTTTGTAATTGGCCACTGGCTCCCTGCAAGTGGTTTACTGACAGGGCAGATAACGGAGCCACAAGGCTCGGCTACACCGAGGACTGTAAAGGGAAGATGATTTCACACCTTCCCCTTATTGGAAATTATGTGTAGGTGGTGTTTGACGTAGCTTTGCAATAAGAATACTGTGTAGTGAAAAAGTTTGAGTCCAGAAACATACAAAATCAGTATTATTAAAAACCATCCAAACCACAATGAGCTACCGCTTCATGTCTACTATGACAGCTATAATAAATTTAAAAAAAATAGAAAATAACAAGTTTTAATAGAAACTGGAACCCTCGGGCATTGCTGCAAAGGATGTTAAATGAGCAACCATGGTTGCAAACAGTTTGGCAGGGTTTTTTTTTTAAGTTAAATATAGAATTATCTTCTGATCCAACAATTTCACTCCTAGGAATAGACCCAAAAGAGTTGAAAACAGGTATTCAAACAAAAAAATTGTACAAGAATACTCATAGCAATGCTATTCACAATAGCCAAAGGGCAAAACCATCCAAATGTATACCAACTGATGAATGGGTAAACTACATGTGGTATATGCTATGGTCTGAATGTTTGGGTCCCCCCCCCCAGATTCATATGTTGAAATCGGAATGTCCAAGGTGATGGTATAAGGAGGCAGGGCCATTGGGAGGTGCTGAGGTAACTGAGGGCAACACCCTCATGAATGGGATTAGCACCTTTATAAAAGAGGCCACGCAGACCCCCTAAGCCTCCCATCATGGAAGGATATGCCGATAAGTCCGCAACCTGAGGAAGACCCTCTGACCACGCTGGCACCCTCCTCTTGAACCTCCAGCCTCCAGAACTGTGAGAATTAGATTTATGTTACTTAGAAGCCTCCCCCGCCTGCGGGATTTTGTTACAGCCAGTGGTCCAAAGAGACTAAGAGAGGATACAGAGAGTATACCCTACAATGGAATATTATTCAGGAATTAAAGGGAATGAAGTACTGGCACGCGCTATAACATGGACGAACCTTGAAAATGTTACACGAAGTGAAAGAAAGCAAAAATAAAAGACCAGATACTATATGCTTCTGTTTGTATAAAGTACCCAGACTTGTCAAATCCATAGAGACAGTGGGCCAGCCAGTGGCTGCCAGGGGCCGAGGAAACTGGGGAATGGGACCGGACTAGTTAGTGACTATGGGTTTTCCTTTTAGGGTGACTCATAAGTTCTGGATCTAGATAATGGTAATAGTTGCAAACCATTGTGAATGTACTAAATGTCACTGATTTACATTTTTAAAATGCTGTAAAGGTGAAATTTTATATCATGTGTACTTGACTGCACTTTTTAAAAATCTTTTTTGGGGAGGAGGGGGATAAGAGATTTTGTTTCGTCAAAGGTTTTTGGTGATGTCTTCTAAAAACTATTACACGGTGTGACAAAAAGCGAGGGGAAAGCAGACGTTTCCATGTTATCTACCAGTATATTAGCCAGGAAAACAACGATCGTTTGCTGGTTTCTCATACACTTTCCCAAGCATGTTAGCAATAAAAAAAAAAAAAAATTGTATCTAACCCATTCGGTTCTTCATGTTCACATAGCATATTTTAAAAGAAGAGTGTTATATAATTGTCCAGGAACCAGCTAGTTAGATATTGTATCAAAGTTTTGGTTAATTATTAAGTACTCAAATCTCCTCTGACTTTCACTAACACTTAGTTCTTCAAAATTAATTAATTAATTAAGTATGCTAAAGCCATAAATTAAAACCAAGAAAAGGAAGGGAAATAAAAATCTCAGAGAATAAAATTAAGGTGCTTGTAGTTATAGAACTCAATTCCCACGTTGCTCCCATAGAAAGCCCCCCAAATCTCTGTGTTCATTATGCACTGGATCCAACAATGGACCAGCCTCTTCATAAACTTAGCTTTATTTGGGGGCATGACTAATTGTACCTGAATGTAGAAGCAAGTGCAATCTAATTAACAGCTGCTAAGAGAGGCTGTAAAGATATATCAATGGTTTATTAGTAACAGCGTTGGCTGTTGCGGTGCGAGAAAGATTGAAAAATTGGTGAAATGGGAGGGCGGGGGAGGCAGCCATCACCACGACAACTGACTCCACTGAGGTTTAGGGAGGCCCAAGCAGGCTTCTGCGTTGTTTTTTAAGGCTGAGGTTCTGACAGCGAGTATGGGATAAGGTGGAACATGACATGTGAAGAACAGAAAGAAAAGAGCACTTGGGCAATAAAATAAGAGTCATGGGAATTCTGAACCTGAAAAATCAGAAGCACCACTACCCTGTGGAGAACAACCCAGGAAAGGGTCCTCTCTTTAGCCTTTCACTCCGCCGAACTTCCCTTCTCAGGCACCAGCTGCCAAGCCGGGGCTGTGAGCAGGCCAACTGCCCCACTCCTTGAACCCGGGGGTTAATGTGAAGACTAACTGCAAAAACCACACTCTGTGGCCACACCTAGGTCTTTTTCACCTGGGGCGGGGTGGGGGGGAGGAAGGGTGGGAATGCACAGCCCTTCCCCCACGCCCATCGGGGTGTCTGGATTGCTTGCCCAGGGAAACAGATCTTCCATCCATCCCCTAGGACCTGCCTGCCTAGCCTCATCAGAAATTCTGTTAAAATTACCAAGAGCAGCTTAAAGGCAGAAAGAAGTCAAATTCAGGAGAGAGGGTGTGCTTACAACAGGGCAGCATAAAGCATGAAGGCAGCGGGGGCCCTGGGGGAAGGCGGTTCCTGGAACAAGGCAGCAGCTGCTTCCGACCCAGAGAGCCTCAAGGGCTGGCCTGGGGAGTGGCCAGCGGGCAGCCCCTCCGGGAGTCCCAGAGCAGGGGACCTTGACAAGGAAGTCACTCAGAAGCCTAGGGTTTTCTCCTCCTCGTAGCTGACATCACTGTGCTGGCCTAGCAAAATGGTGAAGGAAGGCCCCGCAGGGAGACACTGTCCAGGGGCCAGGCTGCCAAGCTCTCGGTGTTTGAGCGGCTGAGGTGGGCACGAAGGAAGACCCTCGCGTGACTTCATCCCTCCCCGTGGCCCTTCTGTGGAAAACCCCTAACGCAAGGGGTTTCTCAGTTTGAACAAAACAGAACAGTGAGGCAGGAGATAGTCAGGAAGGAGGAAACTCCAGCGGTGCCCCAGGGCTAAGATAAAGGATGGAAACCCTGTTCTAAGACCGGTAGTTCCTGCTTTCTGGAAAAGCACTGAATCCTAATGAATCAGAAACACACCTGCGCCGAAGATGCTACCTGCCTCCTGCTTCATTATAATAGCATGATAATAAATTAGCATTGTGGGATCCCCCTTCCCAATGGCCAATCAAGGAAATCATGGGAGACCACATGCACAGTAACTTTAAAGTAATGTAACTACTTGTACTTGCTCAATAAAAGCCTGCCAAAACTAGCCAGGAGAGACCCACCGTATAAAAGCCCTCTAGCCCCTGAGGTCAGGACTGTCAGGCTTGGCTCTGCTCTGCTCTGCTCTGCTCTACTCGGAGTTGGCCTGTTCCCATGCTCCCAAGTTCTGTGCAGCTTAATAAATGTGCTTTCTCTCACTTTCTGCTATAAACTCTGTGTGTTTGGGTCATCCCTTTGTCTGTGATCGCCAAGAACCTGGTTACCTGTACCCACCTGTGACAACAGTTCCCCTGCTCATCAACTGTGAACAACTTAAGGACAATAATTTACTTCCCCCTTTATTTTTTTTACTAAGGCTTAAGTTGCAGACAGTGAAGTGAACAACTCCTAAGGGCGCAGACAGCTCTGTGAAACTTCACCTTTGCAAACGCTGACATCACCACCACCCAGACGAAGACAGGGAGCAGTGCAGCCTCCCCAGAAGACTCTCTGTGCCCCAGTCCCTGATCCGACTTGGGGGGGGGGGGGGCAATCTCCCTGCCAAATGCTGTGGCACCTGTCCAGAGTAAGCCTTTCCTGCAAGTACTTGTCCACATGCCCCAGGGCAGAGCTGGGCCGGCTCCAGCCTTCCAGGAACAGGCTGTGTAACTGCCCTTGTGTCCCCTGCCTAACCCAGGTGCCTGATGTGAGAGAATTCAGTCTGGGACATGCTTTCATTTCAACAGACCACCTGGCGGCCAAATCCAACAGGGGTGTAACGCCCGATGCTTTTACGTCAAATCGAAAAGGCCCTGCTTGTGCCTCTAGGCTGCACTGGGTCTGCCACCGCCACCGCCACCGTCACCGCCACCCAGCCTGGGAAGCTGATGGGCCGGGCCCACGTGAAAACGGTGTTCCAGCTGGAAACGCAATGAGCACAAGTCTTGCAAACATACAGGGCTGCCGTCAGGGAGAAGAGAACCCGGGTTTCTCCCAAGAATGGCGAAGAATAGATGACCAAGGCCCTGCCAAGCACTTTTGGCAACAAAGGCTGATTTTAAGACTTATCTTGGAAACTTTCCCTGAGGAAAGAATACACAGTTTGGAAAATGATAGAAAGGAGATGCGCCTATCACGTGTGTACCTCACAAGGAGCCAGACCTAAGTTTAAATTGGTGCTGCCTAATTAGAAACTGTGCATCTTGACAAATGTATTAACCTCTTGGACCTTCAGTGTTTGATGCAGGAAATGAGGAACTGTGAGGAGGAAATGAGGAAACGAGTATCAGGTGCCTGGCCTGAATGGAATGGGCCCTGAACAGATGTAAGTTCCATTTATTCCTCTCCCAGCTTCCTGAAAGGGGCAGACACAGCAACGAGAAGATCCTACCCTCCCCTTGCAACCAAAACTATATAAGGACTCTATAGAATTTCAGAACAGTTTTGTCTTTAAACATATTAACATGTCGCAAAATCTGTAACACAAGTGGGAACAGATTTTTAAATCATCCAAATAGCATGCTTACTTGGGAGCGAGAAAGAAATGCTGAAATATAAAAGCCACATTATTCATCACCACTGGCTGTCCAAAAAAGCAGCCTAATAT